CTATAATCTCAACATAGAGAGAAAAAAATCGCAAGATAATTTTTCTCATTTTCTAAAAACACATGCATTAAATACGAAAGTGATGCAACCGGAAAATTGCAGGAATAATTTTATTTCGCAAGAATCGCTCCACTATTTATTTACAGATTATCTTTTCCAATTCGTCCGAGATTACCTAATAGCCGCCGGTGTGCAATCACGGACGCCCATTTCGTGCGATACCCGGGAGGGGAGACTGCGTCTAAAATAACAAAAATTCATCGGACGACGCCTGAGTAATTGCCGGTTTCGAAGGGGGCCATTAGAAAGAAAACATATTTACGACGATTAAAGACAGTTCCGCATGACAGGAGACCCGTTTTGAAACGGTCGTAAAATTCATTCCACGGAAGAAAAATTCGTTCCTTCTTTCTTTTTCAATACGCTGAATGCAAAACGGAAAAATTAACAATTGGCATTTAACCATACTAAAACATAACATAATAAACACAGAGACAATAATTACGTAATTCCATGAAGCATTACTCGTCTGTGACTCAACTAAACATACATAATGTTATCGCATTATTTATCGCATAAGTGACTATAAATTAATTTTGATATCAAAATTAATCTTTGTTCTTTACTCTCTTTTAGAAACTTTTAATAACTGTCTACTTCAATTATTGTCATTAAAAAGTAGGATTACGCGTCAGCATGGCAAGCCAATTCACTTTGCATAATTAACCAAATACAAATTCAGTTATATGTGTATTTTACTCATTTTTTATATTGAAAAAAAGTTGAGATATATAAACTACACCTAATGGTAGTTCAGAACAGGTAGTTCAGTTTTATCTGGACATAAAAGAAGCTTTCGATTCAATAGACCACGGCTTTTTTGTTAATAAGTTGAAGTGTTTGACGTGGACTAAGTTTTATAAAACTTAAGTGATCGCACACAAAGGACTGAAATAAAACACTCACAAAGCTCTGAAGTTCTTACAAATGCAGGAGTTCTTCAGGGGAGAGTCCTTGGTCCAATTTTGTTTTTAATTATATAAATGATTTACTTAAAATGGACATATCGGCAATGATGATAAGATTTTTTCCGATTGCCGCAAGAAGTCATAGGTCCGACAGTGCACATGTGCTTATGTATGCAGAATCGAAACTTTATAAATCAATCTATCAATTATAGAGAATAAAATCACGTTAAATACTCTTACACATTCTTTTCATCTCAATCAAGATCTCACTTCAAAAGAATAATTAATTGAAAGAAGCAATTTGGTCAATTAGACCACTAAACCTAAATGGACTTTTTAGATATATTTTATTTACCAGTAACTAACTCGGGATATTAGGAATATTTCAGACACGACCAACCATAGATTTATCAAATACGAAAAGAGGAAATATTACAGTTATATTTCACTATAAGACTGACAGCTGAATGTTAAAATATTTCTACTGACGAAACCTTCTCTGACGTCGGTTTCCATAACTGTCCTCTTATCGATTCAGCTCATGATCAGCCGCGATTAATACAAGGGACATTCAGTTACAGGCGATTAACCGTTAAAGCGATTTCACTCGATTTGAAATTGGACAGGGGCGACGACAGAAAGCGTCGGAAGACGCCGCGAAGAGCGGCCGGGGCAGACTGCGTTTCACTTTTCTCCTTCCTAGTCCCCGTATCAAAAACTACTAATCTTCCAGTCGATGAAATTACTACAATCGGCTACCGTGGCCTTTCTGGATCTAATTCGACATCTTTAATGACGCTCTATTCGAAATTCGCAACAACAAATTACGTGACCTTCCGTCACCGGCAAAACGGATTATGCCGGAAATTGAAATCACGCGACATAGAGGTTCTTGAAGAAAGATTTTACCCTCAATTTGGCAGTGACTGATTACTATCCTCACTCTGTATATTAAAATATACAACCGTCATACATTTTGAAGGGAAGGCGTTTTCAGGTCGTACACCAAGATCGCCTGAAATTAACTAATTCTCTCCTTTCGAATTGATACCTGTCTTTCAGGATTGAAATGGACTTTTCACACCTTGGGAACATTTGGTCAATCGATGATCGTCAACATCAAATTACTTTTACTGTCAGTTCAATGAGAGATAAATTTGAAACAAACAACAGTAAAATCTGCAAGGAACCTGTAATTATAAATCTAATTTATTCTTAATAGGAGCAATCAGTCTGCGAGTAAAAAAATAGTTAAGGAAAGCATTGATCCAGTCGTCCATCGGATTTACAAAATAGAAAAGCAGCAGAAGGTGTTTTTAGTATATCATCATAAATCTTATCTTACCAAGCTGAAAGACTTTAACTTTTAAAAATTCATTTACTTATGTCAAATAAGAATGAACATTTAGTTGTATTTCAAGGAAAACATTTTATCCTTAGGATGACAGACTACCAATGTACAATTAACGTTTAATTGCTAAAATTTTGATTTTTCGACTACGAATGAGTAACAAATTTAGACATTAAGATATTTAATGTTTTCTAAAAATAATTCAATTTGTACAAAGTAGACAGACATTTGGTACATAATTAAACTTAATAAAATTTAATTATGTAATAAATTAAATTAAATTTTAAAAATTTCTACTTTTTTGAAGAAGGTAAGTCTGACATCATTGCCTGACATATTTTACTTCAGTATTTTGCATTTTGTTTTCTTAAGGTTACAATAAAAATACAAACGAATCTCCTACGAATTTTCATACCCTTAGTACTGGTGTTATCAAATTTACACTAATATAGATTTATGAGGTAGGAGAGAGTATTTTAAAGGTTTAAATAATCTGAAAAGTGAAATATCTCGAATACAGAGAATATGGACCTTTTAGTCCGATTTGACATATAGATTACCAACTCCTGAAGTATGACATCTGTTCACAGGACACACAGTATATATCGTAATATCAGTCGCCTTTCTTAATTTCGCCAAATTCGCACGGTTGTTTTGTTGTGACATACCGAAACAAGTCTGTCCAAAAAACAGACCTGAGTAAGCGGCCCCAAAACGATCAGGGATTAACAAACCTCCTGACATTTATTGTCCAACTGGCATATCGCTCAATAAATTGAACCAATTTGTAACTTGCACAACACTTAGAGTTTCTATATTGATCCTCATATTTCTGATATTTTTTAAAATTTATTTTTAAGTTACATCGTCCTGTAATATTAGATGTTATTATTTAATAAATGTATTTTTTTAAGTATAGAATTATTGATTTAGCCATGAAGACCTAGACCAGCCAGATAAAATAGAAAGGATAAACATTGTTTTCATTCATAAATGTAAATGAACAACACATCTATAATTGAATTCCTTGTTACATAAATCAGAGGTTATTGCACTAATAAATAGTCAAATTACATCAAAAGTTAATTAATGTTTTTAAATTCTTTCTTGAGAAGAAGTCGCTTTAAAAATTTTACGGCTCTTTTTTGAAAATTTGATTCCTTGAATACATTTTAGTACATTTGTAACATTTTAACAATGTTTTCAAGTTGGTTCTAACCTTCGTCATTGCTTTTTTTCGCCAAATATTAAAACGTTTTGAATTTGATCTATTGCAGTAGGTACTGCAGTTGCCATTTCCATTCGCATTGCCCAAGTTTGATCGAGATGCCATTTCGAACACGATTTCTGCCTTGAATGTCAGATTATTTTCTGGTCACGATTCGGCATTGCCCGCCTTCATCAGCAATAAAAATAAAAAGCTCAATGCTTTAGTTGTAGCATTAAAAATAAGCGTTTCTATTACAGACAAAATACCAAAAAAATATAAAAACTTCAATGTTTGAAACATGATTATGCCTTAACCACTTACATATACGTATAATTACCAAATTGCTATTTGAAATGTTTTAATAAGTATAAATAAACAACTAGTGTCTGACACAATTGTTTATAAAAATTGATTTCCTTTGTTTTGCTTATTTAATAGTGCTGCCTGGAAGAAAAGTTGCATTTCCCTGTCATAAAAAACATCTTAACAAGGATATTAATTGAATTAAGACTTGTTACAGAAATAAGTCTTTAATGTTTCGAAATAAACTTTTAAGTGTGAAAATTTGTGATATTTTTCCGCAGTTTGAGAAATGCCGAACTTTGGGGCAATCGGGTTTTTAAAAACAGTAAATACGTAAGCTTTTAACTCCAAGCATGTCTGGGAATTCGTAAATTGCCTAATGGCCGTTACGCCCACTACCCAAGACCTTATAAATGGTAGTTGACGACCACAAAAAACCACACAAACCCAAAAGCCGAAATGCATCTGACAGACTGACCCAGTGAGGATATGCAGACCAAAATGATAGTCACAGCTAAATTTCAGGCTCTTCACCTAGCACACAACGCGGATTAACTTCTCAAACTTGGGAAAATCCGTGTAATATAGAACAGTATACCTTAACAAATTTTGTTGTCGTAAGTTGGACAGACTTGTTTCGGTCTTCTGGAACAGAACAAATGTTTGATATGGCAAATGAGCAGCCCGACCAAACCTGAGGTTTGACAATTTTGAGTACATACTATATTTTTAAAGTAGTGTTCTGATTTCATGGTACATTCTTCAACAATAAACTTGTGATTAATTTTGTAGTTAAAATAATGGATCTTTCGCATAGTAGAAAAACCACGGCGTAGCCATTTTTAGTATGTCACCAGTAAACCCGCTAAACCGGAAAACTCTTCCCTCACGTATTATTAACAATGTCAAAGTCAGGACATCTCGAGCCACCTTGTGAGCTCTTCTGCGAACCTTCGTAAAAAGTGTTGATTTTAAAATATAAAGACATATTACAAAATAAATAAACAGAATAGATCGCGCAAATCCTTTCTAAGACTTTCTTAATTTTCAGAGAACCAAGTAACATGTACGGTGGTATAGAAAGGGGTCGCTAATTCCGTGGGCGTTCAAATCACCGCAACCAAGAACCTTATACCCATAAACAAGAACAAATGATAAAAAAACTTACATAATCGGCATAAACGTCGTCGTGTGCTACGGATTTCCTATGGTGGGTCAAATTCGCGTAGAGCGCTTCGGTCTCCTTGACTTTGTAGAACTCTGCCGAACCTTTGGGCTCGTTGCGGCGGTACTGTTCCGAAGCAACGGTATATGGCAGGTCGCGAGGTACCACGTCATCCCAGTACTGGTCCTTGAGCAGCTCAGGATGCTCCTCGTGCATCTCGTCGACGATCATGTAAGCAGCCTGCAACATTAAATTATCCGTGATATTAAGCAAAAACGACGTTGTTCAATTAAAAACAGTACCGACACAAAACAGTGTATACATTAGATAAAAATAGGGGTGGGCAGAATATGGTTTTAAATGTAGAAAACTGTATGGCATTCGCTAAGAAATTCCCATTTGTCAATCCAGGACAAAATCATTTATAAAGTTCAAAAAATTAACTATATTTATGACAACAGTTGTGGGGCTATCCCTAAAAGAGTACTAAGGGGGAAATAGTTCTTGACCATTGGTACATACAAAATAAAGATATTCATCGGTTCCTCAGTATCGGAAATCATTAATGAAGCTTAAAAGCATAAATTTCATCTGCAAAGAAATCCAAACAGAAGGGAGTCTACAAGAACTCCGATACCCCGTGGGAACTGCAAAGGACTAAGCTCTTCGAACTTACCTCCTAAGTCTAGAATGTTGGTTATGGTTTTTAATTACAAACGCCATTTATTGTTATGCCATACATTTGATTACTATAAATGAATACTTTTATTGATCAAAAACAGTAAGAAATCTTTCTTAGTGTACACACATCACTATTTAGCTAAATGGAAATCACAGGTTAGCAAGGTTGCAAAGGTTACGTCTACTAGAATAAGATAGTAGGATATTATGAAGTTTTGTGGGATGTTTGAGAGTAATGATCGGTAGGGATGGAAGTGTGTACTTGACCATTCACAACTCATTCTGATCAAGGCTTGGTGTCCATCCAACTTACCAGGGCAATACCGATCAAAGGAGGTGGAATTCATTTGTCGAATTACCTGACTGGACACCAAATGCCAAATTGGTCATGTGAAAATGTATTCCAGGGGGTATAATTAAATCATATTAACTCGCACCTCATTTTTAAACAACCACCCAAATGCAGTTACCGATTGAAATGAGAAACAAAGTGGATATACTTTAGAAAGGTCTTTACACAGCTGAAAGCTAGAGCAACCCCACAGAATCCTATTGAATGTCGAAAAGAATTTCTCAAGAAGAAAATTCGATTTCTAGTCATTACTGATGCTGAAAATGGTGATGGATTATTCTCTGAATAGGGTATGCCAGTGGAAAATTCAGTATATATTACACTATACTCAGGACATAGTTAAAGTGAAGCGGCAATGTGCATACCACCAATAAGTCCGTAGATATTAGCCCTTTTTAATTAAAAGAAACCCTTTTTCACTTCAATTTAGTTTCATTAATTACAAATGAACCATTGTTAACTAAAAATTATTTTCAACTTCAAATTTACCCGTTTTAACTAGCACTTAACACTGTTTTCCTTCATCGTAACCCTTTTTAATTTCAAATTAACCTTTTAAAGTTAAAAATAACTCTTGTTAATTTCAAATTAACAGTTTTCTAGATTCAGTTTAACGCTTTTTAACTTAAAATCAGCCTATATTAATTTAAAACCATCTATTTTTAACCTCACATTATTTTTAATTTTAAATGAACCCTTTTTAACTTTTACTTAACTTTTAAAACCTTCCCATTAACCATTATAATAAATGGTCGATGTATAAAATATAAGCAAATAAAGTAAAATTCGTGCATATTTCACAATTGTTTTTTAAATATAATTTTTTAAAATCTTACTAGGCGATATTAATATTTAATATAATTTTGAGATTTTTGAAACATTAAATAATTGGGCTCTTAAAAACCATATAGAAATGAATAAGAATTAACATTAGAAATTATATCAAATAAAATATACAATTAAAGACTTCTTCTTTTAATTTGAGAAATCTGATAAATGTTGTTTTTTAAGAACCCAATTGTTTAATATAAAAAAAAATCACAAATTAAACAAAGAATCATTTATGCATTTAATTTTAAATGAAATTAATTTTAATATGGTTTTGTAAGAGCCACAAATTATTTTATGTACATGTAACTATTTGTTTTTTATTGTAGGAATTTTACATTAGGAGCTTACATTTCAAAACATCTCCCTATGATGCTGTGTGTTGGCTTACACGTCTGTAAACTCCTGTTGAACTGGCATTGGGTTACTTTTTAGGTCCGTCATCACTCGCGGGTTTGTTTAACTGCTCAAACGCGTTCCCGCATTGCGACATCTTCTGTTGACAACAGTTCCTCACTGAAGATCGCGTAATGCAGATACGCGTTTGAGTTGAACAAACCTGCGAGTGAAAACGGACCCAGTAAGTGGCCAATGGAGGACCAAATTTGTCGGGGAAAAAATTATACATGTAATTAGACGATGAGGAAGGGAAGCCAAGTATTGATAACCCCATATTATTTTTTGTTAAAATTATCCAAATATTTTCCTTCTGCCACATTATGACGTGTTTATAATCATTTGTACAGTTTACGTATTTATTCAAATATTAATTATGTTTTATTATAAGTATACCAAATTTAATTAGCTTTTGAGGTATAACTTCCAGGAAAAGCATTTTTCACAAATATATATTCAAGGCATTTGCACAAAATGAGAATTCAATGCGAAAAATAAATTTAAAGTGTGAGAATTTAATAGGTAGGAGGAATTCGTAGAAGGATATCGCTTACTTCGGATGAAATCATTAACAATTAAGTGATTAACCTTAGCCTTTAAATCGCCGTTTAATATTGAAATTGTATATAATAATTACAGTAATTTGATAAATGACCATATAATCGATTTAAAGAATGGTCGATTTGCTCAATTATCTGTCATAGTCATTTGAGGGTCTTGCATTTTGAAGGCGAACGAAAAACAGCAAGCAAGCTTATACCAACGAGGTTTAGCGGTAGTTGTTTCCAAGGCTAAGAAACATGCAAACCAGCACAAAATGGACAGTTTCAAGTTTAAATGAAAATAAGCTTAAGCTGCAATTATGAAAATCCCAAAAGCACCCCGGGCAACAGCGGGATGAATTTGGAACACGTCGATGGGTTATTTGAGACGTCTGATGACCCAATTGAAATTTATAGTTCGTCATCAGCAACCTAATATTAGCTTGTTAATAACCGATCTAGTTTTGTGTACACGGAAGCGACAGGCTTAGAGAAGAAAATAGGCCAACTATTAAGACCTATTTTTCATTCTCATCTCTTATTGAGAATGTCGCAAAGAATTTTTCAAGAAAATAGTGGGAAATCCCATCGACTTTTTTCTTAGTTTTACAGCTAAGAATATTAACAGTGTAAAATGTAAAATAAATGTAGATATATTCGGGGCAGAATATGTCATATGTAAACGAAAGAAAATTGAAATGGATACAGATATTGCTTTTTTAAGGAAAAATCTATGCTTGCGCTGTAAACGGTCGTCCGTGTTGTTTTCCTTCTTTCTTTTTCATTCTCCACATAATGAGAAAGCTATTTGGCATATTCCCCCTCACCTCCTCAGCAGGAATGTCTAAGATGTAGTCTTTTAAATTGCGTAATCACATGGTTCCTTGAAGCCGGACCAGGGAAGACCGTGGGAGGATGCCCCTGCACAAATACGATGACGCGATCTTAATTTTAACCCTGACGCAATGTATCACCTCTCATTTTCCCTAGTTATTTTTTCCGAGGCAGTTTCCAGAAATAATTACCTCGCGATCAACGCGGAATAAAGTAGTATAAACCATTTTTGCAATAAATGCATGCCTGCACTGATGCAACACAAGAAACACCTGTTCTTAAGCAATAATAATGTATTAAAAAAACTTTTTCAAATTAAAAGCGTAAGGTAATTAAATTTAAAATATTATAGACCTACAGTGAACGTGCTCTGATAGAATTATTATCATTTATGGAACAAATAATTAGACAATAGTTTACTTTTTTAAACTCATTATATACAGCCTTGTCAAGGTGTGTACTAATAAAATTTATTGTTGGATGATTTTCAATGAAATTGATATATGTCCATCTTCCCTTTTTGTTTTTTATTAGGTATTTAGAGTTTACCCTACCAGTTCACTGACCACTCAGGTGCGTCAAAGAATACTATACATTAACGACAAGGGAGCATTCTTTGTCCCATCGTGTTTACCATTTACACAGATACTTTTTCTATACCATAATAACTCCCTACGTGGATGATAACGCAATTTTGTCTCTTGAATCGAACATCTTTCAAATGCTGGTGGAAAAAGCTGAGAACAAGAATGAGAGAGGAAACATTTACCCAGTGTTCATTCACAACCTTTACCTGCATCAACTCATTTTTGATGCTTAGGACTATACCTAGACTGTAGAAGGAGGTGGATTCCCAAAACAAAATTTAAAAGGCAAAAATTTAATTAGAAGACATAAAACAACTACGAAGTTCTTTAAGACCGAAATCTGTAACTAACTACAGAGACTGCTTTTTCCTAATGAACTAAACACTTTCCTCGAAGCCTCTGCGCGCCCTGCTCTTCGTATGAGAATCGTCTTGCTGATATGTTCAATAATAATATCACCAACGCGGATGATAGCGTAATTCTGTCTTCTAATCCGAATCCAATCAATCACCTTTCAACGACCAAAAACATGTCAGTTGTCAAGACTGATGCAAAAATTGAGGGACAAGGCTAATGTGGAGAAATGTATCCAGTGTGCTTTTACATAAATCCGTCGGGTGTACACAACTCAGTACCGGTTCCACAAGGAGCTACCAACTTCAATTCTGTCAGATATTTACTATAACTACAACACACAATCGCACATAAAACAAATAGGAGCACAAATTGACGGAAGATGGACAACTTGGAAGACTTTTGGGACAATGAAAGCACAACTAAGACATACAAGAACTGAGTGGTTTGACAAACTATCCGACATCCACCGCATCCAATCCTATAAATGAAAAGCCCTCACACCAATTGCCAAAGCTTCTTACTACTTAACAAACCTCACATCGAATGGACTGTCGATCCTGTTTCGTAAAGTTCTACAGCAAATTTTCAATCCATCCTAACCCTACATCCCGAGACTTTTTTTTAACACTTTCCTATCCTAAAACACTACCAGGACGCTTTAACCGAAGAGGGACTCAAGATCTCTCTCTTTAATCCCTCATATTTAGTGAGAGTTTTGGTTGTGTTGTGGACAAGTGAAAAAATGAATATAAAGCATATTTGCAATACGAATTTTAGGTTTGTGCAGGGTGCAAATAAATTATTTAAAAAATAGTTAATTAAGGGACAATGTATTTTGTAGTGCAAAAGTTAAAGCAAAAATAGTACCAATCTGGAATTATCTAGGGATCGATTCTCGTACTGTAATTCTAGCCTTTTTATGCCGGAAAGTCCCTTCTAAAGAAAGCGTTAATGGCGGGCGGAACCCGTTTGACAACAGAAAAACATCGAGGGTAGGCTGACCAGATATGATCGAATTTTAAATCCAGGAAGTCAAAATATTTACAATCTGAATTTTTTTTTAACGAAACAAAACGCTACCATTGTAAAAATTTTGTCGACGATTAAAGAACCAAAAATGGATTGAAGCAACAGGCAAAAGGTCAAATTAAGCTCATTTCTGGAAAGTAGAGCTGTTTCGAACAGAGAGGTTGGAAAATCGGATCGTTTTATTACAGTACTCAATACTTCTTACATGCCAATTGCTGCGTTCGGAATGTACGATAAAATCTCCATACAAACTACCTTTCCACTATCTTCTGCAAATTGTAACAAATACATTTTCTAGAGCACAGATCTCGGTGCTCTACAATGAAAGATATTATCACTAGATATATCTAACTTTTCCTCCTGAAATCCCTGGTGGCGATAATCTCTCTTTCTTTCTAATAGATCTATTGTGGATTGGATCCTCTATATTGGGCCTTTCTATACCCGAGAAAGTACCCTATCCTCTCTCGATGTGCCCAGAGAATCACTCAAAGATAGTTAGAAGGAAAGATGAGTTCCTCTAGGTCCTCGTGTAGTTGTGGTGGCAAGAAGATGGAATGTATGAAAAATACGCGAATGGACTGCGGCTTAAAAACTTGCCGAAGTTGGTCCTGACCCGTTCCCTTACTGCCTTGAAATTGTTGCTGTCGCCCATTTCGGATGACTAACGCTTTGCAGTTATACAAGACATACACTGATGTCTCTGGTATTTCATGGCAGAATCGGTATGTATATGCCTCAATTTATGATCAGTATAAAAACCTTTCATTTCCCTTAATTCCTAACTGCTGTGAGAGAGGAGATTTCCTGGTTGAAATGGAAAACTTCTTTCCATATTTCGTCAGCCTTTAGCTATAAATTACATATACAGAGTGTCACAGAGATATTGCGACAAGGTTTTTCCAAATTAAAGGTTAAAACCAATGCCAATAAAGCATAAATAACATCAATGGTAACATCTCAAGGATCATAAATTATCGAGAAATGTTGTTCAACAGTGGTATTAGTGTGCTGTTTAATTTCACATGTCAAATCCTTATCAGTGCATTAGGGTAATAATATGAAATGCTTAATATTTGAAGCAATAAACCTAGAGGGAAAGTTTGGAATTAAATATCTATAGATAGTAGTATATTTATCCGTCTTCTAAGACTATTACTGCTGTTAATTTCACTATTTTACTCGTTTTAACGGTTTAAAACTGAACCTAGTATGGGAAAAAATGTCAATTCGTTCCATTCGTTGATTGTTGATAAACTAAGAACAAGACACGTAGAATTGGTAAATTTTGCTCACGAGCTGATAATTATGTTCATTCATAACCAGCAATTCGTTTTGTTTCCATTTCATATACAGAATTATCTATACTAATGTAGACAAATTTACTTCCTTGCTACCACACCCGTAGGCAAACTAAAGTATATTTGGCACTAACGTGTCATTTCCTTTTTACTAGGTTGTTTTATGAATATATAAACCGTCGATAATATTAGAAGAACAATGTAAAGTAGTTCTACCCATGTTTAAGGAGATTGCAGTAAATCAAAAGTGAATGAAATAAACTTGATGGGTACCTTGATGTGACGATCGATTAGCCAGTTGAGCTCTATGTCGTCGTCGTCCTCGCCAAACGGGCCGATGAGTACCTCGGCCACTTTGAGCCAGCCGATGTAGAAACAGAACTGAAAAAAATGACCGGTAAATAAATTATCTGTCGTAAGACGAGGAAAAAATTTCAATTATTACCTGGAGGGCGGTGAAGAACGGAAAAAATATATCTACATCATCCTTGTCCTTTTCCGGATTGTCGACGAACTGCCTTCCCATCAGGGCCGACGTAAAGTAAACGTAGACCGAGAGAGTCACTACCTAAAAAGTAAAAACAAAAATGTCAATAAATGTTTATTCAGGTTTATTGAAATTCGATGACCTTATTTAAATAACCTTAAACGAGACCGTTCAATGATAATGCGCAATTTTATCCTCTTGAGTGGAGTCTTAAGTCATTGAAGTCAATAAGGAAAAATCTCCATTAAAATTGAAGAATAAAAAATAATCAGATGGTCAACAGGCAAATATTTTTGGTTTTGTATTTGTGATTTAATGGATAATCTGTTGTCACAATTGTCCTTCTGTCTCAGCAACACTTATAATTTGTGTGAAAGCGAGTTCGGACGGACTACAAACATAATACTTTAACGTTTTATTACAACACTTTCCAACCCTATTCGCGAATAAAAGTTTTCAATCTGGTCTGTAAATACTAATTTTTGACAGACTTGACATTTTAACATTGCTTAACTTTCACCAGATATAATAACGTCCCAGGGAGGTTTTGTCGAAGAAACAAAGACAGGACAAAACGGCCGGCACGGATACTCAGCCGAAACCGGATTCTCGAATAATCGGCTCGGAAGTCGATTCTGACCGGTTCCTTGTTTTTCTAGTCATTTTTCACTTCGACTGGATTTTACGCCTCTGTCTTCTGGCGTGATTTATTCAGTCTGTCTTAAAAATTACCATACGACTCAACATATTTTTTTTGTTTTTAAACACACCTTATCCAAGTGCGTTTCGATAGAAAAATACCATATACCACAATCGAAAGGGCCAGTAGCAATAAATTGCCTACTAAATCAATTAGATAATTTTTAAAACAAGACAATATATTCCACGAGAAATTCTAGGGTATCAACAATTTCAAATGACTCGAAAATTGACTAATTAAAATATTGATCGTTTCTGATAAACCTGGCTTTGAAGTACAAGTTTTAACATTTCAACTATTAGACATATAAGATGTGGAAATGTTTAATGAGTGGTTAATAAAAAGATCAGGGTTGACCACACGTTCACCAATAAAGATATATGACTATAATAAAATCGAAGAAATCAAATAATTACGTTCTAATTAACTTGATAATTTCAATAATTTATATTTCAACTTCCTTCCTCAGTTTATTCTTCCTTCCTTTCTTAAGTCTGTCTGTTTAACTCTCTATCTCTCCCTCTCTCCCTCCCTCGCTGCCTCCCTATTTTTCCTATCTCACTTGGTATATATCTATATTTATGGATATATCTATCTTGTGTACTAAATTTTAAATTTCCCAATCTTCTACAATCACAATTATTATTACTCTTCTCTTCTATCACTTATCTTTCCCTATTTCTCTCCCTCTCCCTCTCTCTATGTTTCACTCTCTTTCTCCTATTCTTTACTAAAATATGAAATTTTCCACAATCACAATCACTATTTTTGGTGATAAAATGATAGAGGGGGTATCTTTTATCTTTCTTTATTTCTCTCTCTCTCTCTTCTCTCTCTCTCTCTCTCTCTCTTCCTTCCTCTGATTTTGTGCTAAAATTTTAAATTTCCCACACGACAATCCCCCATCTATCACTTTATCATTCTCTATTTCTCTATCTCACTCTCTCTCCCTCTCTCTCTCTCTCTCTCTCTATATATATATATATATATATATCCCTCCCTGCCCCCTCTTTCTCTTTCTCACTCCCTTTATAATGATATCGTTTTAATATCGTTTTAATTATAGTGATTAGATCAAGTATCCAATCGCTACATAGAAATCCGTGATACTGAGCCGTGATTTGGGTTTACATTGGAAAATCATTGACTTTGTTGGGATTTTAAACGACCTGTAGTCTGTTATTAATTTAATTTCACTGTGTAATGGGTGGGCCGTCCGATTTCCGGCAAGTCCGTCTCTGAAAATACAATGGCACTTTAATTATTGGAATCCTTCCGAACTAACTACAGCCGTCCTTCTGCAGACTTGCGAGAATATTCTTGAGATCAAGGGCGGCGAGGGTACGTTCACCAATTAAAATTCGCTCAACCGCCCGCCCTTTGGGGACCTCGTAATTGGAGGATTTTTATCAACCCTTGGGCGATTATGAATTTATTACCAAGAGGATTCAAATATTTATTTTAATTGGTAGGAAACACGAAAATCGGCTGTTGAAGAAAACAAAACCAAGGCTTTATTTTTTTAAATGGGGAAGTAGAAATTAATCAATAAACAATTGATGTTATTGACTATTTCTGAAAGGACGAGCTACATCCGTTTCTAAGATAGATGTCATCTAGGAAATAGATTAATATTTTGTAAGGCCAACCGCTTTTTCGATTTAGAAAAAGGATGTCAATATCAAATAGATAACAAACAAACACTCGCAATAAAAAAGGACATATATATTATAACATTCAGACTTTTAGTATCAGTAAAATTTAAAAGATGACTATGAATATCACAGAGTTTTATGGCCAAGGACTTTTCGGCCAGTGAATTCTAGCGTTAAATGTGGTCGAATTAATCATTACGTAATAACAATTGGTAAATTAAAGAAACAAACGAGAACGAGTTATATAAAAGTGTACTAGCCCCGTGGTTGGAAACATTTCGCAGAAGGAATCAGTGGACACTTTCTATTCTAGAACAGCCGTTAAAACCAATTATCCTCATCTATTTATAGTCTATAATCACTACCACATCCGACTGAAGGGGAAAAAGATTAAAACAGACCTAGTATCTATTTTTATTGGCTTCCGAATCAACTTTCTTTGACGTTTTCTTTGATAAGAGAAATTTCACCGGACCGAGTTTTCTTTAAGAAGGAAGAACCATTATCTATTTTTTTTCGTTTTGCCAATAAATTATTTTTAAGTTTGATTTCCTGTTCAAACAATCATCAATATTTTAATTTGTGTAAGCAAGTTATAAATTATTAGGATCTAATGAGTTCTTAAAAAACTGGTTTTGAAAAAAGCATTTTTTCCGGTTAAAAACCATTGTCTTTCAGTTTCAAACCATTTTTAATGAGAAAAATCTTCTCCGTTTGAAAGGAGATGGGCAGAGTTGTTTTTGATATTTTATTACTGCGTCCCGTGGCATAACGCGGAGCATCCACACCGGATGTAAAAAAAAGTAATTTATTATGAACCTTCTTCATCGCGGGCCTCAGATTCCAGTTTATACTACGCACTGCTGGAAAGGTTAAAGGCAAAAATTGAGGAAAACAGACCAGGATTGGCCTATCCGTTGATTATTGGTTGGTCTTTCAGGCCAGACGAAAATCCACAGGTGGATAAATTGGCCTCGATGTCCTGGCTTATCTGCCCTGACTACTGACCTCACACCGCCACATTTTCACCAGCAACCCTCGACAAAATCCACTGGCCTCCAGCCAAAACCGCTTAAAAGGATGTCACGAATTTCGGGAGTACTACTCAGAAGAAAGTATAAAATATGTTCAGAATTTGTTAAAGTTATGATTTGATGTTGTAATTATAATCCTTTAACTAAAATATACCAAGATGGGTAATAATTTTATAAGTTTTGCTATTAAACTACTAGACCTCTAAACTCGTTTAGAATATTACCGATGTAGTTAATGATTAGCCTTCAAAAAATTCAAATATTTTTTTAATGGCATTCAAATTGGAGGCTTCAACCAGGGATCGACTGTTAAATATAAAATCAGTTGAAATTGTGTAGTTTTATAATCCTTTCATAATACAGGTGTCAGATAAGCCCATTAAAGATGTTTTGACGTCTAGGTCCTAGGGAATTGAATTGAAATACGGAATTTAACCGTACTGAACATAGTATATTTAGCTTGAAAGCCGTCGGGGAATGAAAGGAGGATGGTCGCCGTACGCCTGCAAACTTAATTTATCCAAATCCATTCTTCACACGTACACTCGCCCGTTGTCGTGTAAAAAAATAGGATCTTTCCGGTATACTCCGTCGGCTCTAATTGTTTTTAATATCCTCGTTCCTGCACTGAATTCTTGATCTCATACCAAATTTGAAATATTTGAATGGATCCAATGGACCCATATTACACTAGTTATGACGCTATGAACCTTTTGGTAAAACCAAGGTGATAGTGTGCTTTTCATGAGAATAAAACTCTTAAATGGTAAACAACGATGTAAAAACTGAACATTTATGTCGGAACGTTACGAACACATAATTATTTAGTTTTATTTATGAACATTCGTTCATAAAAGTATTGAGGTCTGACTATAAAATTGATCATTATGCTTTTTGACTTCTTCTTAATAAAAGTCTTCCTATTCAGAGAGTTCTGCAACGATAAAAATAGGATTCAGAAAGTGCGAGGTTGGTTGTAAGGAAGATTCGGAAAAACATCCCAAAAATTCATCTATGGGAACGACGTGTGCTGGGGTTTCGGGGGAATTTTGAAACATATCCCACCTTGTGCAAGTGGTTATCAACGCTTGATGGGGTAAGTTTAATAATTTAGCAATTTATAGTATTTCTTGTGAAGTATTCCCATGTCGTCTTAGACAAACTCTTATCAACCTTGATTGGACGACCGGCTGGAAATTGCCAGAACGAAATTTAGAAAATCACTTTTAGCACACGCGTTCTTTTAAAACATCGTTTCCACAAACGCTGCCTTTTTTGATGGGCCTCTGCAGAACGTTTTCCTTTTTTGGAAGAGGTTATTCTAACGTTAGTTGAACATACTGAAAATTCAATTTTTCTGAAAACAAAAGAAATTACAAAGGTTTTGAAAAATGTTACTATTATATAAAGAATAGCTACTACAATTTCCGTCGTCCAAAATGCAGTAATCTATATACCGTCCTAAATAAAGTCATTAAATATGTCAACTAATTTAAGGGAAAACAGATCAAAATAGTTTAAAAAATAGAATTTTCGGGAAAACGCGATTGTTCGACAAATAGCGGGTTTTCGGTGTTTGAATGGAATTTACGTAAAATTCAGATTCATAGTGTTAAAAAGATAATTTTCCATCGATGGACTGTTTCTTCCAAAAAATTTTCAACAAGTTTCATAGCGTTTTTGCTTAAGTTT